ATGCTGTATGATGCCAACGCGTTCAAATCACCATAGCTCATTTAAATACGTTAATGTATGAACGCAACGCGGAAAAGATTTGCCGATGGTGTAGTACGCTTTTTTGGCTTGGATTTTGATGGGGAAATGGCATGATTTTTTTTTTAAAAAAAAAAATAGTTGTTTTCAAAGATGAACTTAGCATAAGAAGAATAATTTAACATTGTTTACAGTGATAACAGCTCTTTTGTCCAAACGAAGCTAACGCTAGTCACAATAAACACGCTCTTGAATAAAAACTTATAAAGGGGCACCTTCCAGTTAAGCCTAATCTCACAACAAATTTATTTTCTGGATTAAAATAACAATGGATAACAAAAGATAGAATAACATTGTAAACAACATAAACAATAGTGTCCCATGATTCTTTGGTGCAATCCATGGGATTGAGCGGTTCTCCTTTAAATAGACTGATTTAGGCGTCAGGAACGATTGCAATGTCCGATAAATTATGCCAAAATATTTTTAAAAATAAATTTAAAAACTGCCGAAAAATCGCCCTGGACGATTTTTTGGTCCCATTTTTTTAACGCAACCATACACTGGGTTTGTTTATCTGTGAAGGGTTAAAATACGTATTTCACAACCGGAAATTCAACAGACGAACTTGCTACTTCACATGTTTTAATTGTTAGCAACTGTAACAAGAACAAGATTTCGAGAGTCTACAAAAAAAAATCCTAAGGGCTCCTAAAAAATATTATTGCAGAGAAAGTGTCTAGACATATATAATACATTGTATGGTCACGTTAAAAAATCAAATAATCGGCGAGGTTCCTCCATGATACAATGTAACAACAGGATTGCGTGAATATGTATATGACCATTCACAGGTAGCAGTACACACAAAATCCACCAAGCTTTACAGGCACCCGGGACTTAGACTAGGAGTATACCAATTTTTTATTTAGTTCACATATGGCATCATAATTTCATTTTCAAAGATCTATTTTCATTAAGTGTGGCGCCGACCAGAAATAAAACGGCACATCAGCGATTTAAAAAAAAAATCAACGCTGAATTCCACCATTTACATAAAGTTTTCCATTCGCCAAAGTTGAAAACACAAACTTCCACACAATACCATTTCATACAGTATATTTATTCACAATTTGTAAAAATTGCGAAGTTCAACCTGCAGTTTCACTGTTTCTGCTAGTTTCCCGGCCGATCGCGTTGTTCCAAAGGTCTATTACGACAAACGTGGACAATGACATTCTTAATTTTCCCACTGTAGCACATTTCCAATGAATGAAAGATACAACAATTTTACGTAAATATCAATTTATTTTCAGAGAATTAGGGGATATCTTGACGTCGTTGACAACGCGATATCAATGCCACTCGCACTATGTACATTTAGCACTAGATCTAGTGCCGTTTTCGCACTAGATCTAGTGCCATTTTAGCACTAGATCTAGTAGTTTTTCGGATTAGTGCTACCGGTACTAGCACTAACCACTCGCACTATGTCCATTTCGACACATTTACATACCTCAAAATACTGTTCAAATTGTCAACTTTGTCATGTTGGATGTGATGAACCTTTGCTATGTGTTTGCTGAAGTGCACAGTTGATTCAAAACAGTATGTGAAATCTACAGGTGTCAATAACATTAAAATTTGATTTCTTTCTTTTTTTTGTTTGTTGCAGTGTATTGTACCAGCTTGTATTCTGGAACATATGGAGGTATTTTTGTTATTTCCATGTTTTTTTTTATAATATACTAATAACTTTCACAGTATAAATTTTGATCAAATTTCCATGTTTTATTTTTGGTATCATCCCAATGTAGCTATGTATTTACAAGTAATAATTGTTTGATTAGGTTTTTGATAGGGCTGGTTATCTATACAAGAAAGAAAGCACAACCAGCTTAAGTGTAAGTACTGAATCTTGTATTCTCGGGGCAGAGCTATGTCACAGAACGTTCTATGCACCACTATATTTTTATGGACTCTGCTCTACCTGCTATGGAACGCCGGTCGAAGAGCAGAGAAAACAGTTTAAAGTCAAGGAAACAGCACAAACTCAGTGACCTAATCCAACTGGCAACAATTTTGCTTGTAAAAATGTGCTAAAATGTCCAGAATATTTAGTCCTTATGTTTTGACCCTTGTGCATCTGTGCATGCATCGGACATGTATCTTAGACATGCCTGGATCAATCACAATCAAACTTCACACATACATCATACATTATATTATACATATGCAAATCAATTTGTTTCACGATCTGATTCAATATGGCCATTTTTGTACTGAAAAATCATCAAAATCAAGCATTTCTTGGCTGTTCACAGAATGGATTTTGTTCAAACTTGGTATATACATTAGACATTATGGGACCTTGATGCAAATCATTTAGTTTTTCAGATAAGATTCAAAATGGCCGACTGGCAGCCTTTAAAATTAAACTCACCTATATGATGACATTTGCTTAATTTTTATCATCTACCATTGCACCTCGTAATATTTTATATAAAATGCTATAATTCTAATTTTTTTCATATTCTAGTCTTGGCAAAGAAGTTGGTTTATTTTAGTTGGGAAGAATTTCTGTTTTTTCTCGGTGGAAAAAAATGGTTTAGAAATCTTGGATTTGAGGAAACTAATCAGTCTCAGTGAGTATTGTCTTTTCAAGTGGGAATGATCTCGACACCTCGTATTAATCCATTCATTTCCCTGTTCAGGTGTGGGGGTGTATAAATGAAGATCTAGTACAAAGCTTAAAGTTGTATTGTTGGTAAAACTTAGTTGAAAGCCCTTTCAATTTAAAAAAACATGTCAAAAAATTTAAAAATACAGCGTTCACAAGTTATACAACGTCAAAACTTATTGCATTTATATAATTATATCTTAAGTATGATAATTAACGGGGACTGTCTCATGGCTTGTTTATATTTGGTCTTTTGCTGTCTATGGATCCTCAAATATTTCGCATTAACCTCATTTTGCTATAGCAGGATGCATGGCAGTGTTGAGTAGGCAGTCATCCACCAAATATAAATAATGCCCATGCTGACAACATCGTTGATCCAGGGCTATAACTCACATTTTCTTCAACATGTAACATCTTATTTGCATTGTGATTATTTTTCAGATTACTTACCTGTAATATCAAGTAACTGTCCAAGTGAAGTCAAACAAATGATCTCTGTTGTGTTTCCAAAGAGGTAACTAAATTGTATTTTGTTTGGCACTATATTAAATAATTATATTCTTGCATTGCTTAGTAGAAAACATACACCTAACATCTACCGTATTTGTCTGATATTTGTCTGATATACCATATTTTTGGGCTTGTGGTTTCTCCAAAACATCATCCAAGGTTATCTTTCAGCACAATTTTTTTTATCGCTATTCATTACAGCTTAAATACAATGAAAGTAAAGAACAAGTTTCAAATATAATTGCATTGATTTAGTAGCAAACAATTCACTACGTTCAATTGCCCACCATAAACTATTTTGAACTGTAGGCATTAATCAGCGATTCTGCCAATGACAGAGAGATAGAATCTAGGTCAGGGGAAGCCCCATGACCCCAAGATTCTTTTCCCTTACATCACATACCACGTGACCGTGACCATATGGCGGCCCCATTACGGCTGGGTATTCTCTTCTTTTTCTCCGCATCAATGGGGATGAAGTTTAGCGGCTCTGCCTGGATCGCCTGCTTTTTCCTGTCCGGGTTTCTAGCTTGGGTTTTTGCCGCTACCACGGCATCCAACATTGTAGCTGGTAGGATAAGTTTCCCTTGTCATTTTTACCCTTGTGTTGTTTTCCCCTTTGTGTGTAGCATTTTTCACTACAAAGAAATAAAACCCAGCGTCGTAGCTTCATCACTTGTTGATTTCGTTGCGTCACCTTTTCCAACTGTAATTCGCTTCCCTCATGCATGTCATCTTCATTTTATGCTTGATCAATGTGTTTAGAAATGGATAGATGTAATGACAGCACCAGAGGCTCGCTGACATTTTTTGTCCACTGTGCAGTGGTTATATTCAGAATTTACCAGCATAGAACCTGCATCCGAAATGCTTTTTGCCGTGGCTGCATGCGGGGTTCGGGGTTTTTGCCTTGAAGGCGTGTGTTTTTCACTGCAGTTCTGAGACCTGAGATATTTTTTCAGAGCCATCTGAGGCTGTGCCCCTGAAGGTCTTTCCTCCTATGGGGCCTGTTGCGGGTCCCTTTGTGGATCTGTCCTCGCACACCGCTGGATTTGTCTCCAAGATGAGGGCTTTGGTCGAAGGACTCTCGGGGCGAATTGCATCCCTGGCAGGTCGAGGTAGATCAGACGCAGTTGGAGCGAGCTGTCTCCACTGCGGCTCCTCGGTGGGCAAGCAGGAAGAAACACAAAAGCATTACTCACATTCAAAACATGTCTCTTCCGGGGAACCCCCCGTTCCCAGACGCTACTCTCCCACTGATTTGGGGGAAGCCGAGGCTCAGACTAGTTGCACCGGGTCTACTCTGGGGCCTCGGGCACTGAATGCCAACGAAGATGCTGGCAGCCAAGCCTCCGACTACGGGGCAGGGCACACGTTGCACCTCCCTCCTACTTTCAGCCAGCCAGGGTTTGTCGCACGGTAATGGTACAAGGATTTTACCCTTGAGTCCGGTTTCCGCTGTGGGTTTTGACTCCCTTCTTACCGACCCACGGGCGTCCCCAGAAGGAACCGACCCTGTCAGGAGACGCACAGTCGAACATGTTCTCTCTCTCACATACTTAAGTTGAAAGGAGACAGTTTGCGCACGCCGGATACAGCCGATACCTCGAGCAGTCTCTCAGAGTCTTCCATCCGTAACGACTTGGTGAGCCTCGCCATTGGGGTGATGCAGAGTATCATCGCTCCTAGTGATACAATGTAAATACACCCACCCTTGATCCTAAGGCGACCACTTACCGTTACTTCAGCGCTTATGGGATCACGGGCATCGGGATCCAAAGCAACACGTCTCTCCCTGTCAGGTCGAGTGGGGCGCAGGGCGCACAAACGGTGTTGATGGGTGGACGTTGGTCAGCCGCAGAGGAGGTAACGCTTAAGGCCCCCGGGTGGGGTAAAATCTTATACAACACTTTCCACCGAACCAAACGCTACCCGGTCGGTGTGGTTTCGGGATCAGACCTCAAAGTGTGGGATGAGACCAAAACGCCCCCAACCGGATCCCAAGGCTTCTTCCCCAGACCACGGTACCACGAATTTTCATTTGGCAAACCAGGTAAAGGGGGACGGCCACATTCTCGCTAGCTCAGTCTGAGGGCAGAGTTGCTTGAGCGCATTATTGTGCGCGCCCAGAACGCACCAGCCTCCTAGACCAGGCGACACATTTACTGGTGGGCCATCGCACATCTACATGTGACATCCCCTAGTGTCACCTGGCTCTCTTGGCCAGGGATACTACTTTGCAACAAGGCGTGGTATTAGACGCGTGTGTTTTCGCCGGCAAACTGAGTCAGGGGGTATGTCTCCCTACGTGACGCAGACTGGACATCTTCCACCATCTTTGTTCGGGAAATGGCGGGTGCAGTCTCGGAGCTTCGGAGTGCAATGAACCAGGTAGTTCAGATCGAATCCGCTAGCCAGTTGGCCCTGCCAAGGGTAAACAAAGAGCACCCCAAGCACAGAAAACAATGCCCTAAGGCATTGTTCGCTAGCCAGAGTCAGCCAGGAGGCAAGCACTCATACCCTTCCACGGGAGGGAAGAGTAGCGACATGCCCCCAGGGAGGAAGGGACCTGCTGGTGGCTTCTCACCCTCCTTGGGGGGTTTGAGCATGGAGTTGCTACCAAAACGGTACTAAGATTCAAGATGGGGTGCCAGGCACATACATCCTGTATCTTTGTGTTGCGGCTCAGACAGGCAGGATAGGCCGGCCTTCCCGACTCCCATCACCAGGTGGATTACTGCGAATGTATTAGAGGTCTATAATACTTTAACTGCCTCGACACAGATCTTGCAGAGACACCAAGTACAAGCGTATGAGGTCTGTGTGATTGCTAACTCACTAGTGCTAGCGTCAGGCACCCCCCCCCCCTCGAGCACACACTGAGGGCAGGCTTCTGGAGCCTCCCAACCTATTGAGGAGGGTCTCTTTAGGTTGGGTCCCGTCATAGCAGGTCAGACATGGATTGCTGAGCCAGCCCGAACGACCACAAGGGTCCCTGCACATAGGCGATAAGTCAGTCTCAGCATTTTTGCGGACAGATTTCTCTACCATCAGCACTTCCTTGAAGCTCCCAGGTCCTGCTTTTCGACCTATACCCTCATGCAGAACTGTTTCGGTCTTTACTTCAAAAGCATACTACCCCCTGAATAGGGGTTGGGTCTACCTTTCTCGGGCACACCGAACCCTGTCACTGTAGCAGCATTTTTGGCTTCTTGCTCCGGGGACAGCACAGGCAAGGTAAGAAACCACCCTCTTGGAGTCTTAACTAAAGTTTTGAGTGATTGTTGTAGAGTGTATCATCAAAGACTGGGAAAAGGCTTTTATCATTTTTCTGTTTGCTCGGAAAACCTGTCACCTATCGCCATCTGCCTGCAGTTCAAAATAGTCATTTTGACTGACTGGAGTCCATGGTGGGAACGTAGTGAATTTTGGCAGAGGGTTCTCCGAACCCACCTATTCACATAGTTCATACCCACCATAGACTCTGCACCCCAACCACCCCACTCTTTCTGTAGCATTGGTCTAAGTCCTCGATGCGGACAGAAAGGAACCAGAGTGAATACCAAGCCGTAATGGCACCGCCATATGGTCTCGGTCACATGGTTCGTGACGTAAAGGAAAAGAATCTTACCATCTACCCTGACCTAGATTCTATCTCTCCGTCCTTGGCAGAATTGCTGAATAATGCCCACAGTTCAAAATAGTCATTTTGACTGACCGGAGTCTATGGTGGGTATGAACTCTGAGAATGGGCGGGTTCAGAGAACCCTCTGCCTAATTACAGTTTTGTGAACCAGTCACGTTATTTCACAGGTGAATACCATATTTGTTTTTGAGTTGGTAAAGCATTGATCACTCAGTCGGGTGGCAAGAAAAATTCAGAATTTTTGGTGCATGCTTTTTCACACAATATGCAAGATTTCACGATGAACAGAAAATTTTTGACTAATGTATTCTCTGATATTAAATGTTTTGTGTATGTAACAGGACACTGTACATAATTGCTGATAACAAAGAGGAGAATGAAGCATGGTTTAATACTATTAAAAGTACATCCTCTGTAAGTAACAAACTTCATTCTACATCATTGTCAGCTTCTGTCAATATGAAATTCACTTGTTTCTATAATGAATTGATAATAAAAAAGGGTTATGATTCAAAATTAGTATGTTGTTGGACTGTATTGTATGTGGTGGGCAAATAAAGTTATCTTGTACATATGTTGCTTGTCATTGTCTAATATCTCCTGTTGTATCTAAGGTGAGTGGACGGAATCTCCATGAGCAGCAGCTAACTGAAGACAACATTCCTGTTCCTGTAGATAGGTGTATAGAATATGTAGCAAACCATGGTAAGGATATTTGCATATTAAGCTGAACAAAAAGAAATTGTTCATCTGAGCTGCTTGCCCCTGCCAGGTAAATCTTTTGGGGATTTGCGCCAACAAATTGTTTGACCGTTGGTTGTGATGCAAAATTTTAGAAGACTTCAAAACCCCAGAATTGTCTGTACATTTTTCCAGTCACATTCATAGCCATTGTTCATCACCCATGTTTGTCTGCTTCAATGTTTGCAAAGTTTCTGCAGTTTGTACCTCGCTTAAAAGAAATTCAAGATGACTATAAATGTTTAAACGCTTTGGCACACACAAAAAATTTCAGGTGTTTTGACACAAAAAAATCTGTTAAACAAATTTTTTTCATGATGAAAAGTATTTTTCACAGTATGATTGGACTCTTGTCTTTTGCAATAGTAATATTATTTGCTGCCTATCTTTGTGAAATGTCTAAACAAAGATATTGTCAATGTAACTGCAATTATGTCTCAAACACACATACTATTGGCTTGGTGACAACAAGGTCACAACTAGATATTCAGCTACACATAAACCACAAATAATTGAAAGGGAATATGTAGTTGTGTTGATCACTCACAATTGAATCTTGTCAAAAATGCTTGAGGTCCATTTCTGTGATATAAAAGTAATAGTCCCTTGCAGTTGTTGTTTATATGTTAAAAATCTAAGTGTCACTAGATTTTGTGTGATTTTTAACAAATATGAAATATGTTCATTGTTATCCTTGTCCAATTTTTTGCAAATTTAAATATTATATTAACCAGTTTGGGATCTCATCAATTTAATTTTGGTTTGTGTTCTGTGGGTATAGTACATGAATAGTGTAGTTTTTCCACCTTTTTTTCAAATCTGGCTAGAGCTCAATTTTGTTTAGATATGTTGCTGTACTATTATTTTTTTAAGAACTTTTTCATTGAGATAAACACTGAGTGTCAAAGTCACCTTCAAGCCACATCCACAAAATAGTTCCATTTGTAGTCTGTTTTTTTCTACAGAAAATGTTGAATAAAAAGTAGAAGCAATGTCGCATTTTATCCGTGA